GAAAAGATAAGCATTCAAGAAGCTCAACAAACTCCAGGATGGATAGACCCTAAAAGACAATCACCAAGACATATAATAATCAAGCTCTCCAAAATGAAAGATAAAGACAGGATCCTGAAAGCAGCTAGGGAAAAGAGAAGTGTAACATACAAAGGCAAGCAAATCAGACTAAGCTCAGATCTGTCAACTGAAACCATGCAGGCAAGAAGACAATGGGGAGACGTATATAAAACCCTGAAAGAAAAAAACAGCCACCCAAGAATCCTCTACCCAGCAAAGCTGTCAATCAAATATGATGGTGTAGATGTATGGTCCAGGCTTAATCAGATAGCTTAAGGACCTGACTCTTTCTACCTTTCTACATGGTCTGCCATATAGACCTTTGTTTATGCTTATTGTGGTTAAGAGGTCTTTACTGTCTCTGGGCCTTCAGGAAAAAGGAGAAAGAGACAAAGGGGCTTTTTCCTAGCAAGTCTTTACCTTTTTGGAGGGAATGACAGCATACCCTGACCAGAACCCTATTGCATGGTCTTTGCTAAGTGTAAGTATTAGAAATTAAGACTGTTTTCTTTTTTGCCTCTAAAGGAGGAAAAGGCAAGACTGCCAATTCACAGTGTTTGTGATGGTTTGCAGACATATTTGAGCTATTTTGTGATTGCAATTTATGTTGATTCTACCCCAGATTGTTATAGATCCTAACAACTCAAAAGTTACTGTTACTGGTTTTGTTCTATTACATTCCAAAATTTCTTTTTTGGGTATGAAAGTATACATACTAACATTTTGATTAAAACTCAGTAACAAAATCTGTATTTTAGCATAATTTCAGTGGTAGGACTTCGGAAAATGATTTACTTCCATGAATTCAGGATTTTAACATTAAGACTGAGGAAGTTTAGTAACTTCTGATTATTTAGAAATTATGCTGTACATGATTCCCCCTCATACTGTACCACCGTTGATAATTTTGATTACTAAAATTGAACTTTTAGCAGATTATAAGAAAATATCAGTTATGAATAAGAAAGTCAGTTTTTG